AACACAATTGAAAAAAAAAAAAAAAAAAAAAAAAAAAAGAGACTAAGTTCAAACAGCTTCTGCCGCACAACAGGAATGGGCTGGGTCTGTTCTGCACGCTGTAGGGGCGGGCCGGGGGTGCTGGGGTACCCCCCACCCCCAGACCCGGCTCTGGGTGCTGGGGCACGCTGCCCCGTCCAGCACGGGACACATCACCCATCGCCCTGCTCGGCGCCGCGGGCGAAAGCCACACCTTTCCCTTTTCCCCCGCGTTCAGCGCTTCCCAAGCAAGCACTTCTCCTCAGTAAATACAGGGGGGCAGTAGGGTGGGATTTCGGGGTGCAGCGATCCACCCGGGAAGGGACCTCTTGCTTTCGGTCAGCTATGGAATGAAATTTGGGTGTTGTGGAAGGAGAAAACAGCAAATCTGCCTTTGGCCAGTGAGCGGCAATATGTTATTCCTCCTCCCTGTCGCATGCAGGCAGCGTTCGGGAACTCGACAGAGCGGGTACGATGCGGAATTCCAGCAGGATAGGACAAACAGCGGTACCAGCCGAATTCTTTCCCGTACGGTGTGATTTGGGTCCCCTCTAACCACGATTCACCAGTGGAAATGAGCTGACAGGTTTGGCCTCCAAGCAGGGAGACTGCACAAAGATCAGCACCTGCAAGCTGCCTGGAAGATTTTAAACCCCGTAATTAAGAATGTACTTTTATACAAACCGACACTACAGCTGTTTGAGTCCAGAGAGCTATACTTTAAATAGGGACAGAAGTGCTAGATGAAATGTTCCGGTTTCATACCACACTCATGCACTCACACACACCTCAAAACTACCTTTTTCTAAACAAAACTGATAAAGTAAAAAAAAAAAAGTACTACAATCTTTTTTCAACTAAATAATAAAGTTGTGTTTTAACAGAAGTCGCCATCCAACTTGAACACAATTCCTCTACAACATTACGGGATTCCAGTGATCCCTCTGGCTTGTCACATTTCTTCCCTCTGTACCCACCCGCAGTTTGTTTCTGTTCTTAGAGACATTCACTCCTCTCCATTATTTTTCTGGATTCTTTCAGAACAAGACTGATTCTATCTGCATGGATTTTTAAGTGTCAGATTCTGGGTGAAATGCTTAAATTTTGCTACCGAATTATCTGAACTTCATTAGGGCTTTTCCAGCCCTTTGCAGTGACACAGACATACGGGTTCTCAGCTCGCTGGACAGTACTCGAAGTGCCAGGAATTCTCTTCCTACCCAGATGAGTTACTCCAGCAGCCTGAAGGACAGAGGCGAGGCAGGAGAATCCCAAGTTGAAACTCAGCAAAAGGACTTGATTAGACCCACTAGGTAAACAATAAATAAGCTTATTAAGATCAACAAGAATGAACACTAACAGGCTGGCAGGAGTGAAGTAACAAGGTGCACATCACACACAGTGCCCCTTACCCAAGTCATCTAAACACTTGCCATCATTTAGGAAACGGAACTTGTTAACCTTTGCAGCAGCAGGAGGGAAACAGAGAGCTGCATGCCGTGCTAGGTCCCAGCCATCTAGCCCTTCCATACACCCCCAGGAGCATCAGCATCACCACGTCTAGAATAAGCTCTCCAAGAAAAGGTTTTGTGATGACAAGGAGAAAAAAAAACCCCACCTCCCGAATTGCATTCTGTGGTAGGCAGCCTTCTCCACCAAGAGGCGAGGGTCATGAAGAGGAAGGGGTACCCCAGGTTTTGCCACACTAACACTCTTCTCTTGGCTGATCGCAGCTATTTCTAGCGCTCTCGATTAGATCAGAGAAGTTAAAAAGGCTTCCTCAAGTTCAAGGCAACAGCAGTGTTTCTTACAACCATTTCTTTCTTTCCCCAAAAATGGAAAATGGTTACCTGCAGGCAAGAGGTTGTGCTGGCAACAGCACAAGCAGGTTATTTTTAGAAGAGTACTTGTGTGGGCTTCTGTGCTTTTGAGACCTCTAGATTTTTAGGTATATGTGAAAAGGAGGAGGATGTTTCAAGACTGGGACCGGTAGATTTCTAGTCACGAAAAAAGCAAGTTTCGTCACCAGCAGTGGCAGGAGGCCCCATTTTAAAACATGAAGAGATGATGATACTCAATGATAAAATGGCCTGGACCCTTTGCCAGTGCCACCTTTAAAAGGTGGGTCTGTGCCCTTACAGTAACAGAGGGCATCTGAGGGAATCACGCAGAAATTTATTTAGTATATCCTACCTTTGCTTCAGAGGGCCTCCAGACACATACCTATAACACCATCCCAGAGCACTTGCACTGAAACAGAATTCCCAGGTGAGCCTGCTGACACAGCCAGAAACACCACCGACCACAGACTACCACCACCAAAGACCATAGACTCCTAACGCAGCGCTTCAGGCACCCTTACCTTAACCTTCTCTAAATTAAAAAGCACAAAAACCAGAAAGCCTTATATCTGAAAGTAAGGAAAGTCACCTCCAGAGCTGGACAGGGTTTACATTCAGAACTATGGCTACAAACCTTCAATTTTCACTGCAATGTCTTGTGGAATTTAGCGGAAGATGCTATTTCTAGACAATAAACCATCTAATTAGGCTTTTCAAGCTAATCAGGTTATAAAATGCCTTTTCAAAAAGTCACAACGGTTTAAAAAAAAGCCCTCCGACAGCAATTTAGTTACGCCTGACACATTTTGAGAAGCAGGACCTGTGCCAAGCAAGCAAGGCTGCACAAAAATCCCACTTCCCTTGCTGGCAGCTCTGCGAACACACCCATCGCTACAGCGGTAAATTCAGCACTCTGTCAAGTGAAACGATACACACTTATAATTGCCAAACTAACATTTGTGGTGTTATACACCTCTGCTACCTCAAGAGACACGATCAACCGTTCCTCTTCTGCTCCACTTCACACTGACAGAGGGCCAGTTAAGCTCCGTTAGCACCAGGGAAGAGGGACGAGAGAAAGAATTCAGGCTTAATTTCTCTTCTACCTAAGCACTTAACTGGAATCTTACCATGCACTAATTCTCCACTGAACCTTCATTGCTCAGACATTCTCTCTGCTTGTCTTGTGTTCATAATACTTCGATAAAAAACCAGAAGTGTCTGTGAAAGACTCACTAGCATAGTAAGTCTAAAACCGTATCACTCGTAGTTTGCTGTCCATCCTCAGAGCGGGATGAAGGTACGTTTGCAAAAAGCTTCAGTTGCAGCAAAAGCTCACAGTATTTTGTATATGCCATTCTGTACATGCAGCATCATCAGAATCAGCTGGTCCACACTCCAAAGTGTCTCAAAACCACCTCCACTGTTCTTCTAGAGAACAACACAGAGAACTGGAAGTGTCAGGTCTTACCTAGCAGTGCACTAAGTGGGAAAATAAAGTTATGGTTCAAGCATCAGCCTAAGTTGGACAGTTTCAGGCACATGATTTTTACTGCAGCACACTCAGGTGGGCACATCTAAAAGGCGAATAAAGTATATCCTACTGTACACATGGACTCTCATGCAGTCACTTCCAGATTTCACCAACACACTCAACATTTCAGCCAAAGCACGTGGCTTACGACCTCCACTCCTCCTTGTACTTGAGGAACAAAGGTGATGGTAAGAAGAGGCCACAACTATTGGTGCAACTTTTCTAAAACACCTTCTTTGGGCTGTCGGATATGAGTATCACGTTCTGGGAGTGTAACTACATACAGCGTGAGTGTGCACACACTGATGGCAACAACTTGAAAGCTACTTCCCTTAAAGATCCAGACGTTTCTGCCCTTCATACAACACTATCATCCTCCCATCCACTCCTCCTTGGCCTTCTGGACCAGCACCTGTGTCCTACATCCCAGAAGACACCAGTTGCTATCACTTATCAATTGTAGCTGTGAAAATGAAAAACACTCTTCAGTGCTACCATTCAAACCATTAAGACCCAGACAGGCCAGCGACAAACCACTGCACTAGCCCACAAGTAACCATTTTACAGAGAGAGCATGTCGAGTGTTCAGTCGTTTTCTGCATCACTGACAAAGCACCATATTGCCAGCGTGTCAATACCATCTATAGATAGTTAATTCAGAAGGGTAATAGCTTAGCAGCAGCGAGGTAAAATAAAAGGAGTGTTAGAATTTTACTGCATCGTCGCTAATAAAAAAGTTGACTGAGTAACTGATCAGGGCACTTAATGCCCGCTGACAGCAGCGCTGTATGCTACTGACAGGCTCCACATGCCTCATGTCTACACCGGGTCTTTAATCTACTGAAATACAAGTTGTACAGCTCACATGAGTATTTGATCCTGGTCAGTATTTTATTCTATCTCGCGAGTGGCAGAGGAAGAAAGGGAGGACATCTTTTCAGCCAAAAAAATCCACAGTAACAAAAGCAGGATATTCACTAGAAGATGACACCAGTGACTGGTGTCCTTAGGTTGTCCAAGACTATGCTCTGAAGATGCTTTACATAAGATGAGCAAGATGTCCAAAACAAGGCCAACTGTGGTGTAAGATGCAATTTACCCTTTAATTTCCTGCCTCAATTTCACCCAGCCACAGAGGATGACTAGATTTCAGTATGAACCATTACCTAAATCATATAGTCGGTGTGTCTTTCTTTAAAAATTTACTTAAAAACTGCTTGAGCTGCAGGTCATATCAGTCTCATTTGGAGAGTGAAGGCAGTTCCAACAGTACAACAGAGACTTGTCTACAGGCAGGTAAACGAGAGTCTGCTAACAAAGGGGTAACAAAAGCTGCTGGCTGGGCTGCCAATGTTGCACACAAACTTTCATAGGATGAAGATGTTGTGGATGAGATCCAGGATGGGAAAACTGAGCCAACACCTGCTGCTGTTCTAATTTTTTTTTTTTTTTTTTTTTTATTCTCCTCTCACAAGAGGGGGTGGGTAGACTATACAGAGGAGGGCTGTACAAAACTGGGCACTGGGCAGGCATTTCTTCAGCAGGCAATCCAGGCTCTACCTGTCCTTGAGCTCTCTTGTCACCCGCTTGGTGATGCGTCCACACATCAGGCCGATCAGGAAGAGTACACAGATGCCGACCGTGATCACAGACAGTATGTAATTCTTGGACGGAGAGGTCATAACTTGCATGGCAAGGTCAGAAAAGCCTTCCGCTGGGGCAACCTGGAGGTGAGAAGGGAATAAATGAGCCAAGCTGTGCTTTCCATGCGACCCTCAGCCTCGGCACTTATCAGGTTTAGTCTCTGGTACTGCTATTGCCTCCTGTCATCGTCAGACTTGGCCTGAACCACAAACAAGCAGGCTTGCAATGATGCATCTGAAGGAACTGCTGCTCAGGAGACAGCTTTGTAACAGGAAGTTCTGCTGACCCTACTTCATTGCCCCAGACCTTCTCTACAGGAGACCAAGCCCTGTGTGCACAAAAGACAGTTTAATTCTGCACTGTTGAGGATGCATCCCAGACACCGAGAGCAAAAGATACACAAGTTCAAAAAAGGAGACCCGATTTCAATTTTTCTGGACCAAACTCAAAATGCAAGACTTCAGAGACAAGAATTTCATTACAGTTGAAGTTTTTCATAAATAGCTTGCAACAGAAAGATCCAATGCAAAAAAGGAAGTAGTTTACTGAAATCCTTTACATATTCACCTTTGCAGCATAGCTCCACATTTCAATACGATCATTAAGGCGTTTCTTGCATTCAGGCTGCAACCTCACACGCTTATCTTCCAGAGCTTCCATTAAGCATGACATTTCTGTAACGCGGAGAAGATGGTATTACAAAATAGAAACAGTGGCTTCAACAACATGCTACGGAAAGGCTGCTGGAAAGGGACACTTCAATTCTACTAAAGGCTGATGGTTACGCAGCTTTCTAAACAGACTAGCCAGCCTGACAGACTGTATACAAAGCCCTGTTGTACCCTTGAAGCTAGCAATTTCACTAAGATTCATGACCAATATTGCATTTTGAGGTGCAAGGAATTTTGACTTCCAAAAAGAAACTACACTATATATGTAAGATGTAATTCATGTGATTTTATCAAGTCTTATAAATTGGCATCTTCAATGAGCTGTACTCTGAATTCCACGCCACCATCCTTTATAGAGAACTAAGATCAAATTCAGCTCAGGAAAAAACAGTGTATCTCCTTAGACTTGTTAGGAGTTTCTTTTGATCAACAAAACATTTTGGAAAGGTTTAACTTCCTGAGTTTTCGCACAGTCCTGTGCAAAGGAAATGGGATCACAATGTTCTGGGTGCCTACGGAGCGCCTTGGCTAATTCATAAGCTCTTTTATATGCTCATATGAGATACTGACATAAAATTTTACAATTTATACTGCCTTACTTGAATAATCCCTGATTGGACGCTTTCTGCTTTGCAGTGAAGAGTTATTTTGTTCATAGCAAACAGGCTGCAAACTTTAAACTAACTCCAGATTTTTTAAACACAATTGTCAGTTCAAACACTCAGAGGCAGATCCCTCTCTAAGCTACAGACTTCTGCATACCTTCAGTGCAAACACGTCAGAACACACATCAAAATAATTACGACAAAACAGGAATAAATAAAGGATATCCAGAATTTCAGAAAGGCATTCAGTAACCAGCATGAAAGATAATGATCAGGAAAATACTTGACTGCTATTTTTAATGCCAGATAAACTCAAGAAAGATGCTAAAGTTCAGAACTTTTTTCCTCACCAGCTTTCCTTAAACAGCCATACATACTATCCAGCTAGCTAACATAATAGCACTAAGAAAGTGCAAGAGCTTGACCTCAAACAAGAAAAGAACGGGGTAGGAAATACTTAAATAAATGATGTTTCAAGTGGTCTGAACCTGATGAACTCAGTCTTAGGGGACTTGGAACAGCTGATGAAGTCTCAAAGCCTTTAGCTGTTACGTGAACTTAGAAAATGTAGTAAAGATTACCTACCCTCTGTAATATCGGAAAAGAAAAAATTGGCATACTTAAGTAGGGAAGAAAAAAGAGGATCAAAGGACTTCAGTTTAATTTTGTCTGTCAAAAATACTGAAACAAAAAAGCCAACCATGGACAAAGACTGACATAAAGAAAGAAGGACCAAGGGGATTATCTAAGAATGAATTTTGTGAAACCAAATTGATTTGCTTCTGTAAGAGAAGCAGTTTAGTTCCAGGGAAGCTTTTGATGCAGTCTGATATAACACTGTCGTAAGCAAGCTTGGGAGCTGTATCCCATGTGAAGCTGATACGTGTACTTCAGTCCGTGTGTATTAAGAGCTCGTTTTCAACAGGATTTAATTGAGGAGGGATTTTACAGAAGGATTACGGATCCGGTATCACACACTATTGTCAGTAATCATATGAATGACAGAATGTAAAATATACTCATTAAATTTGCAGTTAAGGCTGCAAGGACGTTATATCAGGACTGAAGAACTGGTCCCACCTTGGACACAAGGAAGGACTTCTTGATAGCCATCTTCTAGTGGCATCTACCACCTCTGCAGCCATTCCACTTCATCACCCACAAAGGACTGGTGGAAAGATCTGGTACTTAAGATAAGCTGCATTCTCTTACCAGCATTAAGACCCTCAGGACTGAGAGGTTATAAGAGTAAAGCACGAGCACTTACGGCGTCCTCTCCCTGGGGGAATGGCAGCACAGTGGTGTTTGATGTCTAGGGCACAGGCTGTGTGGAGCACTGGGTCAACAAATATATCCGCTTTGCTTTCTTTCAGCATGTTGAGCACTTCCTAGGGAGGGGGAAATTACAAGTACATCTCAAAAAAAGGAGAGAGAACAAAACTCATACTGCTCAATGTTTCTTTTTAAATCCAGGATCATGAGAAAAAACACCACTGTCCCTGGATGAGGCTGTGAATGCTGGTTTAGGCTGGATTAAATGTCCCACTTTATAAGGGTTACCATCGTTATGGTCATTAAAATACCCATATTAATCTAAAATACAAAGTTGATATGCCAGGGTTACTTCAGTTAGAACTGAAATAAGGTGCCATAGCCACGGGGGCAACTTGATCATAGCCAGTGCCTAGGTCATACCCAGCACTCAGGAAGCCTGCAACAGAGACAGTGACAGAAAAGAGATTAATAACAAGAAACTTTGGCAACCATAATCAAGAAAGGATCAAAGCCTGGAATTGCAAAGGAGGCACCGTCGGCACAATTTTCACTGGCAAATTGAAATTGAATTGAATCGCTGCAGGCCAGAACTGAGATGTGTAAGAAAATTTGCAGAGCTCTGGCTTCATACTAGCTAGAATATGGCCTGGGCTGTGATCTGGAAAAATGACCGACTTCTGCAGGGACGGGATGCCTTTTAGAGCACATTCAATTTATTTTCTTTACCTTCTTGCACATTTCAGTTTTTATTTTCAGCAGATTCACTTTCAGACATTCTTCCACCTGCCCAGTCTGCTCCTGAGCCGCTGCTTCTTCCGCACACAAGCTGGAAATCTATTTTGAAAAAGGTATTTTAACATAAGTAGTTCACAACAATTATTCTGCCTTTTAGCACATTTATATCTCAATACATTAGTTCATCACAGGGCGCAGCTGGAGGACACACAATGAGACACTTTCCTCCCCAGATATCCCCAGAGCCTAATGCAGCCTGGCTCATGCAATATGCATACCCTTCGAAACCCAACAGCAAGAAGCCAATATTACTGTACTGAGAGGATAGCAGGGAGCAAAACAGCATGGAAATAATGCTAAGATATGAAATAAGCAATACTTGAGACATAGCTGATTTGGCTATCAAAAGTGAAAACTCAAAATCCGACTGTATTCCAGCTAAGGTTGACAAGACCAGAGAACTAGCACACATTTTTTTTTTACAACAGGAAAGCAGTATTTTTCAACAGACATGAGTACTGATGAGATCCAAGTCAATATAAATTAATTTTATATTAGCACTGCATAAGAAACTGCAATTCTTGCACTGGACAAAAATCACAAGCAGAGAACCTGACTAGCTAGGAGCAGTTCAAAGGCGTTTTTTGTTTGTTTTAATTATCAGGATAGTTCACGTTTTAAGAAGCAAAATCTGTTTAATGAAGGGAGTTTTCATCCTGAAAAAGTAGCTGCTGAGCTACTTCTCCTACCTCTTCAGAACAGTGCATCTGAAGTTGGGGATCCAGCCGATAATCAAGAGCCGATTCCTGGATTATCACTCGGATTTGGTCCTCGCAGTCTGGAGAGAGACGCTATTAAGCGGAGAAAGTCATTAACCCACTCAATGACCTTTATTTTCATAAATCAATCACCTTGCATTTTGACTTCTGTATTCTGTAGCACTTGCGTAAAAACTCATTTATGTACAGCCTGTTACATCCACTGAACACGCCACAAGCCCAAGTTTGATTCATTATTCAGTGACTGTTGCTCAGCACAATCCTGCACAGTTTCTCATTTGCACGCACCAGCTCTACTCACCTGGTCTGCATATTTCAACTTCAGGCATGAGATGACTTGTCCTTCCAACTCTGTATCATCCTTGGCCCTATTCAGGATATTTTGGCAGAATTTCGGTATGTCTGCTTTGCACGCCTTCCTGAGCACTGGATTTAAGCGGTAATCTAACCAGGAAAGATGACAGAACTTCATTAGACTACACACCTCTTCAGATTACAGAACATAACACTCCAAAAGAGATTTGATAGAAGTTTCCTGGATGACATATATTCCAATAAATTTCATTTTCGGGAAAAATATTATTATTTTCACAACAGAATTTTAACTTGTGAGGTAAGAGCTTCAGCAATAAAGTGGATCCAGTAACGCATGCTGACCCTCAAGAACTTGAGTGAGTAAAGTTAGTGTGTACAGTGATAACCATGAAGGAGAATAAAACAAAGCAAATATTCTTTCAGCCATGCAGACCACTCAACAGCTCAGGCAGGTAAGTTTTTTTCAGAAGAGGATACCTGTGTTCTGTGTAATCTGGCGCTTGGTAATCATTTGCTTGCATTTAGGATCCATCACTTCACTGTTCTTGTTTTGTTTCAAGCACTGCAACATATTTTTTGAGTCTGCCTCTGGACAAAACCGCTACAAAAAAAAAACACAAAACAAAAAAACCCTAAAAAACCCAAGTTTCATCACTAAGCACTTGGAAAAAAACCAAACAACTATGTTCATGGAAGAGAATAACCACCTCCCCAACCCAGAGGTATACAGACACACTCCCTAGCCCCAACACCTCCTATGAAAAAGAACAGTACTACTCTCTAAATTGACTATGGGCATGAATATCTCTGCTTATGGACTGAGCCCTAAGTCTTGACTGGCTTTTAGGCACCAGCTTGTGTTGGCAGTATCAAAAGCTATTTGCCTTTATTTTCTCTTCTTAAGTTAAAGCACACTTTGCAAGAAGTGCCCACCAAATTAGGTCTGATACCCAACTACTTTCACTCCCCTTTCTTTTAGAAACTAAAAAGGGAATCTTTTAAGTCTATACACGTACCACTGTTCTGGATAAATGCTGGCTGGACAAATCGACAGGTAAAGGCTTCATTAGTAACGCTCAGGACAAAGTTAAGACCATACAGAACAAGAAAGCAGAGAACAGCTCACTGATACTAATTTGCCCATTCCCGCCCTGAATTAGATAGTCAAAAGTGAAGCAGCTTACCCAACATTCAGACCAAGGTACTAATTTCTTTTGTTAAAACTAATTCTGTGGGTGTAAGATAAGGTTGTTCCATCTTCTAATCCTCACCATTTTGGTGAGATTACACGTCTTTCTCTAAAAGCGTAAGTCTGTACTGGAGAGCAATAAATTCTCAAGAAATTCTGCTTTGGCCACAATATGGAGTCAGGGTACTGCATCCAGACCACACACACTAGTGTTTCAGGGCTTGCAATTCTGGCTACTGTGCAAGAGTATCTTGTATTAACATTCAGTGCTGCTTTCCACATGGTACCACTTTAAGCCAGCACTTCTAATTTTAAGTTTTGCATGATTTTGCCTGCTTTATCGATTTGATGAAAGTTTATGTGCACCAAGGTCAGCAGTGAACTGAAGATGTTACTCCTCTCTGTAATCGTAACTTCTTCACCTTTGCTAAAAGCCAATCCAAATCCAAACCGACTGGATGAAAACTGTATTAGAAGTCTCAGCACAGACCTCCTCCTCAATTCTGCTGGCAGTTAGGAAGAAATTTATTAGTGCACAGGCTTTGATCAGATATTTGGAGGAAGTAAATTTGAAGAGAAGAGCCCTGAAAAAAACTCAGCCTGATTCAGAGTTAAGAAACTGATTACTTTGCAAAAAAGCAATCATACTTCTGAAACAACACAGCAGTCTTGTAAACAAGCCTTTATGAGAAGCTCAAAACCAATAGAGCTCTTATATCCCAACCTCACCCTCTTAAATCAGCACACTACCATTACCTTGATCATCTGCTTGCAGACTCTCATGAGTGTGTAGTCCAGTTCTGGATCCATCATCTCTGTCTCCTGCAGTTTAAACACCTTCTGGTGGCACCGGGTACTCAACTGCTTCTTGATTTCTTTCAGGCATTCAATAATCTACAACACAATATTACAACCATAACAGACACATTGTTGATATGGTTCTGTCATATGCTGCTCAAAACGCACAGCTATGTGTTCCCCTAATGGCTATCTTCACCTGATTTATGTGGTTAAGTTCCCAATGCCTAGATTTTATCAAAAGTCATTACCAATGCTTATTTCCAGGACTTGCTTTAAGCTCATCTTTTCTCACAAAGATTTAATGAGATGAAGAGGGCCACCTGGACTTACTCCAAAACCCCAAACCTCATCTTGCAGACATTATGCCTAAGAAATCTTTAGCAACATTTGCAGTAACCAGTTGCTAATAGCTTAAAACTAACATTAACCGAGGAACGAACTGCTCACAGCATTGCATTCACCCAATATTAATGCTCGTGAAACCAGTGGGGGAAAAAAAAAATTATGCTCCAAAATACTAACAAAAGATTTCAGTGCTATCAAAATGAAAACCTAACGCTGCACTCACAGGGGCAAAAGTGTTCTTCAAAAGTTCTCTGAAATGAAAGTAAAAATTAAGTTGTAAATTATTAATAAAATCCATTACCTGAGCATTGCCATAGGGCACGTTTTGGCAGTAATTCTTGATGTCACTTTTACAAGCCTCATACAGTTCTGGTTCAAGTCTGATATCCTCGGTCTGCAGGATAAATGACAATATGAACTTTTAAGTAGGACTCTAAAGACTATTTTACTTTGTTAATCTATTAACTAGAACCCTCTACTCACAAAAAGCAAGCAACTCTCACAACAGGCAGCTCAGTTTCTTTGAATCTAAGGGTCTTGGGTATGAGAAGTGGTGTTAGCAGGAAATCAACTTTGAAAATCCATGCAGTGGATCAGTTGGCTTTTTACACTGAAGAAAGGGCTTAAACCGAATTTTAGAGCTGGCAAGTTGTTTCCACTGCTCCTCCTAAAAGGGGCATCAACACAAATGTTCAAGATAGCCAAAATATTTTCATGTGACAGCTAAAGGACACATTAATAACCACTCATCTATTGGGTGATCTGGAGCATGTGAATGAAGTTTCCTACTTTTAGTGATGCCCAGCATTTGAATTCTTCCATACAAAGGCAAGAGTGCTGCATCTTCTGACATGGGCCTACTTAAGGCGAAGCTTTAACACTCAAACAATATCTACTGGACAAAGACCTCACAAGTTTATTGCTGCAAGCACTGCAGCAGGAAGCCGAGAGGCAGCCTTGCCTACCAGAACAAATACTACTCTTATTTATCCACTGAGCAACTTAGAGCAGCTGGAGTCATGTTGCTTCATCTGTGCTTGTTTCCTCAGTCTGTAAAATGAAGCTTTTATTCTCTCCTAGAGGACTTTAAGGACATCAGCACGTGTAGCACATTGCTATCTAACACTAAACATAGTCATTTCTAGCTGAAATTCCAATGATCATTTAGCTTGCCTTAGCCTTCATGAGACTATATTTAAGGCATTAAAGTAGATGATCATTACTTTGACCATGAAGGGCAATTGAGCCTTGTGTTGTAAGAAGAGTGGAAAAAATAAATGAGATACATCTCACAAATGAGCTTCCTTTTTTTCCAGGGTGGACAAACCAGGAAGCTTTAATTCAAGGACCTTGCTAGAAGAGCGGGCAGATCAAGAGTTTCATGCATGTTTACCATCTCTAGCTCCTCAACACGCAGTTGTTTGCGGCACTTCAGAGAGACTCTGTGCTCCTTGGCATCCTGCAAAGTATCATTGCGCACAGTTGTGCTCAGACAGATCACTACATCCACCCTGCAGAAAAGAAAACAGCTTTTTACTCATATACCCTTCACTTAGACCAGCCAAGATTGGTGTTGGATCACCACATCAGAGAAATTGACCCCAAGAATCCAAACACAACATAAAGTCCTTGTGCATCTATGCTTACTTGTAGCCTGGGTACAGCTCTAGGTAGAGTAGCTGGATCACAATTAAAACCTAAATCTGATGGTATCTAATTGGAGTCTAGATCAGCAGACAGGAAAATAATAAAAATCCCACCACACCCCTGCCCAGCAAGACCCTCTGCTCTTAAGTCATGTGAGCACTTCAGAAAAGCTTTACTTAATCTCAGAAACAGATGAAGGTCAATACCTACATGGCATTGCAAACAATCCTTTTGCATTATGGGAACACCATTTATATCACAAAATGCAAATAGTCTTGCTATCCATGAACAGGATTGACCTTGTGTGTAATTTACCCTGATGTCATTGCAGTAGGCCATTAAAAAAACCCTTATACTGAAATGAATAAACCAGCTAAAACAAGTGGGATATTTTCCCTTCCCAGATCAGCAACTGGAACAACGGTAGCCTGCATCTTGGAAGACAATGAATCTAGCAAGGACATAAAACACCCTGGGACATGCAGTCCACTAATCGTAATCATTAGCTATTTTCAGAGCAAGAAAAATAAAGAGGACAGGCTTGTATGCAACAGTAAAGCAGAAGTAATTTTAAAGAGGCAGGCAATGCCTCTACCTTAAGCATCTACAGAACACAGTCACTAAGGGAAAACACACCAAACAATCAGCCTTTAAAGGAAGTCCAGCGTTTTCTGTCCTATCACAAAATATCCTGTAACTTTATTACATATTTAGAATCATAGAATCATTAAGGTT